TGCCCGGCGTCGAAGCGGCGGTGGACGGCGTCGAGGAGGCGTCGGGCCGCGGCGCGGGAGGCGCGGGCCTGGAGGCGCTCGAGCACGGCCTCAGCGGCGGCATACGCGACCTCGCCCGACGCCGCGCACGACGACAGGAAGGCGTCCACGTCTTTGCTTTCGTCGTCGCTCGCCGGCGCAGCCATTCGCCCTGGTTGGCCTTCGTCCGAGAGGAGGGGGAGGCGGGCGGCAGCGCCGATCGTGGTGGCGGACGAGTGAGGTGAGGGGCAGAATCGTAAAATGGCTGCTTGGGGAGGTGGAACCCCCGTGAAATAGTGCAGACACGACTGGACTGTCGTCGAGCCGTGGTCAAGGTCAACTGCAGAAAAATGCGTACCCGGTTTGGTCGCTCGAGTCAACCAGTGGTTTGACATCCGCATGCTACTGGATTATAACATGTTTTTAGATACTTAGATAGACTAGTATAATGTATGTGCAATGCACGTTCATATTAGGTAGGATATTAGTTGCATGTCATATTAGGTAAGATATATCTCTTGCACGTAGGTGTTTGGTAAGATATCAATTACTTTTTTGAGATAATGGTAGGATATTAATTACATGGTAGATTTCATGGGATAACGTCAAAATCGTGTTTATAACCAATGGCAGTGGTGGGTAATTAGAGTGTTAAACGTGTTTGGTGCTTAACATTGAACCGATTTGAACCGCTAGATAACATGATTTGACGGTCGAGATGGTTCGAATCTACCCCTTTGGGTCTTTTTGTATTGGTATAGATATAGATATAGATATAGATATAGATTATATTGGTACAGATATAGATATATTAATTTGGACTACATACAAAATGAAATGAGTTAGCATAAACATTAAAACACGTCTAAATACAAGCGGATAGTAAAAAAGCTAAAACATCTTAAAGTCTACCTCGGATATTGTGACTGCTTTACTCCTTGAATATTGTCTGCGGCCTTCTCTAAAAACTCCCAGGATAAAGGAATGCTAGCTATATTTAGACCGCGTTGCTTATTGATGGAGTAACTTCTGTTGGAAGACCACTACGTCACGCTCCTCGCCTGGCTAAGAGCATCTCCAGCCGTTGGCCCCCAGGAGGCGCTAAAAATCACCCCTGAAGGCGCACCGACGAAAACCGCGTGTTGGGGGCGTGATGCCCCCCGTCGCGGCGCGCACGCATTTTTTTGAAACCCACAAACTAGGCGCAAATTCAACCACTTCAGCGAGTTCATACATATTTAAAATATTTTACAAAAAAAGAAAAAAAACGCTACTAGGCCCGCCGTCGCCCTCGCTGCTCCTCGCCGCCCGCCGCCCTTGAAGCTCTACATGTCGAGGAGCCTGTAGAACTGCATGTAGTCGGCGTCGCCGCCGCCGCCGTCGGCGTCGTCGTCACCTTCTCTGCGGCCGCCGTCCCTGCTGCACCCCTTCCCAGGTTGGCGCGGCAGGTTGGACGGTCTGGGGGCATCCTCGTCCTCATCGCTGTCGAGGATCACCATGTCGTGCTCGTCCTCGCGCCCACGCTTGCGGGCGGCTATCTCCTCTAGGGCTCGGCGCTGCCGGACCATCTCGTCGCGGAGGTAGTCGTCCCGCGCCACTTTAGGGCCTCCTCGTCGGAGAAGCCGTGCCGGGCTATGGCCTCATAGTCCGCGGGGAGGCCGGGCTCCTCCTTCGGCCTGACGAGGACGAGACGGCCAGAGGTGGGGGAGGAGTCGGCGATGCGGATGCCGGAGCTGCGCGTGCGGTGGCTGACCGGCGTGTCCTGGGGCTCCGGCTTAACGGGGCGGAGGCAGGGAGAGCCGGTCGAGCAGCCGGACGAGGAGGAGGATGCCCCCGGGTCCATGCGCCTCGGCGTTCATGAGCTCCCACACCGGCGGGAGAAGGACGGGGGAGCGGGGTACTCCAGCCTGGGCGTGTTGCCGCCCTCGATGTACTCGAGGACGGCCTCCAGCATGCGCCCGGGCACGCCCCACCGTCAGCGGCGGCCTTCGGAGTTGAGCCTCCCGGAGGGCACGACGCCGTTGGTGGCCTCGAGCTGCTCGGCGTGGCGGCGGCGGAAGTAGGGCTCCCACAGCGGGCTGTCGGGGACGTACCGAGGGCCTTCCCTCGCTGCCTGCGGCAGAGAGGCGCGGATACGCGCGATCTCCACACGTTGCGCCGCTCCG